TCTTCCTCCAACTTTCCATCACTAGTAAATATAGTTCCGAGGTTCTTGAACTTCTCCACCTGCTCCACTGTCTATCCGTTAATCTCAAGAGAGCAACGGGTCCGAGAACGAAAAAACACTAGGCTTTCCGTTTTAAATGCGTTCACATGCATGCCACTCATGTATTCGGTACGAACCTTTCTAGAGAGCACTTTAGATCAGTTTCATTAGATGCAATAATAAAAGGTCGTCTGCAAACAGCAACCTTCTCGTCGTCACATCTGCTACACCGATGCACCGAACGCCTTGGCTGCTCCTAAATATTCTATCCATGTATAACATAAAGAGGAGAGGGTTACGACGCAGCCTTAGCCGAGACCAGTGCAAACGTTGAATGATTTTTACTTAACGCCATTTACTCTGACGCAACACCTGCTCTCAGAATACAATGAATGGATGGCCCTTAGCAGCTAGCCATCAATCCCATATGCACGAAGGCATGTCCACAGACTGTTGCGTGGGATCCGGTCATAAGCTTTCTCTAGGTCCACAAAACACATGGACACTGGCTGGGTGTACTCCCACGATTTTTCAACAATCTAGCACAGGGCAAATATACGGTCAGAGGTGCTTCGACCGAGCCGGAAGCCACACTGCTCTTCTTGGATCTTGACGTCAACTATTTCACGGCACCTCCTTTCTAACACCTTTGCGTAGAGCTTACCTGGGAGGCTCAATAACGTAATGCCCCTATAATTGGAGCATTTCTTGTGGTCTCCCTTCTTGAATACGGGTACAATACCTCCCTTTCTCCAGTCCCCTGAGGTCTTTCTCCCAGTCATCGCAGTTTGACAGACACTTGTAAGCCATCACACGCCTTGTTCGCCTAATGCCTTGAGCATCTCAGGGCGGATTTCATGAATTCCAGCAGTTTTTCCATTTTCGAAGCTGTTCACAGCTAGTGTAATTTCAGCTACACGGATAGTAATTTCCGTTCCCTGCTGCTCTACAGGCGAGTCTTCCTGCGATTGCTCAGTGATAAGCAGTTATTTAGAGTACTCTATCCATCGCTGAAGAATGTCCTCATCCTTGGTAAGAGGGTGTCCAGGCTTGTCTTTC